GTTTCGAGCGTTAGCCCTTCGTCGGAGCGAATAGAGGAATTGTGGGTTGTGTGTGCTTTTAAAGGCAGAAAATGGAGCTACGTTATTGGTGGGAACATGGCAACGAGAAAAACAAGAATAAATTAGTAGAATGAAAAGCGTTTGTTGATCCCTGTGGGATTTAGACTGCCGGTTTGAAAGATGAGCTTTTGTTCAAGATTTTTACAGCTTTCCGTGCTACCTAAGTGTAAGGAAAGACCGCAGACTGCCATATGTTGCTTAGAATGATTAGGTAAATTAAAATGCCTAGCGCCTGGTTTCGATGTGTCCTTGTCATTCCTTTCCACGTCTCGAAGGTGTTCTCGGAATCGGTCACCTAGTCTTCTGCCTGTTTCGCCGATGTATATCTTTTTTCTTTGAAGTTCAAAGGGACACAAGTGCGGTATCATTCGGGACCATTCGGGACAGTGCCCGGTCCAACACTGAGAGAATATTGACCGGCAATAGAGCATTTTGATTGGTTGATTTTAGTTATTGGCCCTCTGACTTCCCGAGTCGTGTAATAAATGCAGTTTACATAACTAAATACTAAAGTCTAGCAGACGTTCTTGTTTATTTCCAATTGAAATGAAGAGTGACCTGTTGGTACCTTTTCTATTGTTAGAACAGATGGTTTGAACCCCTCAGCTGCAGAAACTCCTACCCTACACGAGTAGGGGACTGGCTCTACTAGCACAGAGTGGATGAAAGATTCATTTCTTTGACTGTGAACCTAACAAGACAAAATGAAGGCATTGAAAAAGACATTTAAATGCATACACATAAAAACCATGGAACAGGAAACAACATCACTGTGCTGAAATTCTGAGATACAGTACAATAATTATTCAAACTAAGCACTGGATATCATAACCACACAGATATATCAGTGACCATATCTATGTTATCTGAAGTCAATTGAAAAATTGTTACTTAAAGTACAATAGTCGCACCTGGTAAGCTTGATTTGATTCACAAAAGGGAGTACAAAAATAATATCATCTTCATTCTCCTCACCTCACTTTCACTGTCGTGACATCCTGAACATAAGAAGAGGTACATTCCAGCTTTGCCAAAAAGGTGTGAATGGCACCTAAATTAAACCACAAAACAATTATTATAAATTAAAACTTTTAAATCCCATGCAGTGTGTATGTAAATAAGCTGAAACTGAAATCTCTATGTGATCATAGCAGTCTTTTATCAATAACACTGAATTAAGTGGTATGAAGTCAATAAAAACAAAACATTTGAGACCTATGGGAAGTTATTTTACCATAACCAGACTGAGTACAAATGTAATCATTACTCAGTGGTTATTATTGTCTCTTTTTACATTTTTCAACATTGGTTTGTTGTGTTTTTACTTTTACTATTACGTTTTGTTTTTATTTTTACTACTAGTTTTATTTTTTGCTTTCGTTTTTGTTGTTGTTGTTGTTTTTTTTTCAACCTGCTATTTACCTTTTAAAGTGGACTTTGTGTGATGGTTTCACAGATCCTCGAACTTCACCTGCCAAGGACATTTCTTGCACATTGCAGCATGTCCCATCTGACCATACCCAAGTCACACAGTCATTCACTGATACTACCAATGGATCTGGCTGAATTCCCTCAGCTGTAACAACAGCTATGTGTACCTGAGATGGTATTTTTACAGCTCCAAAAAGTGAGTGTGGAAAATCTAACTAACTGATCAAATGTCAAGGAAACATTGAAAGGAATAAAACTGAGAACAAGGATTGTTACCTTAGATGATGGAGTCACCACAACAGCCCCAAGCATTTCAGGATTGCCACTGCTTTATGCCAAGAAAACAAACATGAAAAAATTTTAGGATGAGCATGAAATGACAACAGATGGTTGAATGTTAAAATCTGTTAATTAGAAGACATGGGCACATGTCCCACAAAATGTTAGCACAAAGAATGTGCACCTGTGAACAAATGCAGCAGCAATCTCTGACTTTCACTGCATCAGTGTGCAATGTACCATAATTTACAACCAATTACCCACATTACATGTACAAGGAAATGATAATTTAAGGAAATGTCTCTATAAGTTCACAAAATTAAAACAAATTGTTTGTACCAGGGTGAGATAATTCAGCATACACAGTGTACATACCTTGCAAAATAAAATATACCAAGGTCCTGAAATAGATGTGTAAAGGCAGTTGCTGATTTAGTGGCCTTTCCACTATCAAATCCATTGGTCATTGATATCCATTGGTGTGACACCTAATATGAAAACAACAAAAGCTGCTTAGCATTATCTCAGCTAACATGGATGTTACTCTGGATTCTTCGTGAAATACTACACTTTCACAGTAAGTATTACAACCAAGATATATTTGTCTGTGATATATAAAGCAAGCTTATATAAAGCAGTACTAGCTAAGGTGTGTGACCAGTTTTGACAGATAATCAAAGAAGCCCTGAGCACCTGAACTATTTGAAATAATTATAAAAATTTATAATAATAATTTATTAATTTTACTTAATATATAGTGCCCTTTAACATTATAGGAGGATCAAAGGCACTTTACAATCCAGGAGAATTAATATTAACAGTAAATAATTACAATAAAGATACTATTTACAATAAATAATTACAATAGATGAATGAATGAATAAAAAGTAAAGAAATAAATACAAGATACCGATAAGAATGTAGTGCAAATCTAAAACGCTAGCTTAAAAAGATAGGTCTTCAGAGATTTCAATAGCTGTAGCGAATCTGAATTGTGAGTGTTCCACAGCGCAGGCACAGAGGCATGAAACCAGCGGGCACCTAAAGTTGTCCGCATAACCCCTTTTGAGCGTTCTAAAATTATAGTATTATTATTGCATAATGAATATCTAGATGATGATCTAATACAGATCACCTGTTACTTAAATAACTAGGAGCCATGCCATGAATTGCCTTAAAAGTAATCATCAAGATCTTGAATTGAATATGATAATTTACTGGCAGCCAATGAAGGTTGAATAGTACAGGATTAATATGATCAAATTTCATTGTATCCGTTATAAGCCTGGCTGCCATATTCTGTATGCGTTGTAACTTCGATAGCTGGTACTTGGGTAACCCACATAATATGCTATTGCAATAATCCAGCCTTGAAGTTATGTAAGCATGGACTAATGATTGTTTGCATTCCTTGGATAGGTATTTCGATCTATGCCTAATGTTATGAATGTAATAGAAGGAGGCCTTGCATATCTGATTAATATGGCTGTTCATCCCGGGAGATTCGTCTAACATAACGCCAAGGTTCCTAATGCTGGGAGAATGATCAATCTTCTGGTTGCCAACTTCTATGCTAGAAGAACGAAGTTTGCTTAACTGCTGACGAGTTCCGATAGCAAGAAACTCAGTCTTCATCTTGTCCAATAGCAGCCGCTCATCAATCATTCACTTTCAAATGTCCTTAATGCATACTTCCAAAGCGTGATGTGCGACATCCTAGGCATCATCATCGCCCAGCCTGAAACTGAGGTAGAGTTGGGTGTCATTGGCGTAGCAGTGGGCTTGAGGAAGGTGACATTCAGTGATCTTAAAGAGGGAAGAGGTGTAAATAACGAACAACAGTGGACACAGGCAGGAACCCTAGGGAACACCGCAGTCCAGAGAAAATTCCCTTGACATCGATCCATCGATTGCAACTGGTTGACTCCGACCAGACAGGTACAAACAGAACCAATCATGCGCTTTATCCTGCAAGCCAACAGCCTTGGTAAGCAGAAGGATCAACAGAGACACATGTTGCGAGTTCATTTTCAGAAGAACGTCGTTCATAACTTTGAGCAAGGCCGTCTCTGTGCTATGGTGTACACGATAAGACGACACCAGCTCTGGATAGATGTTATTGGTGAGCATCTGACAATGCGTCTGTATGAACACAGTCTCTTCTGTAAGTTTGGAAATATATTGTAAATTACCGACTGGTCTGAAATTCTGAAAAATCGATTCCAGTCTGACCGAGCTTCTTCAACAGGGGATGGACCGAGGCACATTTCCACTGGTCAGTAAATAAACCATTCTGCCATGAAAGATTAATGATCTTGGTTATAACAGGGAGAAGAGTGTCAATACAGGCAACAAGAAGGGGAGTTGGCATACGATCAAGCGCTCGTGATTTCTTGGGCGTGGCCTCAATCAATTTCCGTACTTGATGTTCAGTGAGCAGAGTGAAACTGATCATTGGCTCAATCAAAGATACTTCAGGCTAGGGGTCAGTGTTACGAGGTGACAAATCAACTGACATTTCATCGAGCTCAACCTGAATAGTGACAGTCTTCTGGGCAAAAAATTCACCGAACCTATTGGCAAGAGCAGCTTTATCCTTAAAAGGTGGAAATTAAGTTTCACGACCGCCACCAAGCAACCACTTTGTTACCGAGAATAATCTCTTCTGATCACCACAGTTCTCATCGACGAGTTCTCTGTAAGCAAGAGACACTGGCCTATTATAACCAGAGGTGACAGTCGGCCACATTGTAATCAGCAATGGAATTCCAAATCATGCTCCTGGTCCATTGTTTGATGTGCTTGTTGTTGGAGTTGAACAACAAAAACACTGTGATCTATCAATAGGAATGTCCGTGAGTGTACGAAACACTGGCCTAATATAATCAGAGATGAGTGACAGTCGGCCGCATTGAAATTAACGATGGAATTCCAAACCTTACTCCCGGTCCATTGTTTGATGTGCTTGTTGTTCGAGTTGAACAACAAGAACACTTGGATCTATCAATAGGAATGTCCGTGAGTGTACGAAACACTGGCCTAATATAACCAGAGATGAGTGACAGTCAGCCACATTGAAATTAATGATGGAATTCCAAACCTTGCTCCTGGTCCATTGTTTGATGTGCTTGTTGTTCGAATCAACCTTGAAGTATGCAAATTTCCGCCATGAACCAGATTTTGACCGCCAGAGCAGATATCCATTAATCATTTGTAGGACCTGGTTTACTAGAAATATCCATCCAGACTGCAATATCAAGTGGGGGATCGTGTCCACCAATAACTAAACAGGTAAGAACCGTCGCTTTCAACCATCGAGCTAAGGAAAATTTGGTGCAGCAAAAACCAACTGATCCAGCATGCACACCAATGTGAACTGAAGATGGCAGGATATTTGTGAAAAATACACCAAAACCAAAGCAACCAGCTCCAAATTTGTCTGTGATATAGAAAGCAAGCTTATATAAAGCAAGCTGCACAGTTAACTAGCTAAGGTGACGTGTGGCCAGTTCTGACAGATAATTCAAAAAAGCCCTGAGCAACTGAATTTGCTTAATGACTGATAAAATGCTGGGAATTAATGGACCTTTTGTATCATTTCATAGCTAAGGGGTCCACTTCCATGAATAATTATGTTTTTATTTTGCAATGATTTTTTTTTAATCTTTTCTTTTTACAAGCACTTACACACTTTTATAAAAGGTTTATTAAAGTTTAATAAAAAGTGTCCATGTGACAAAGATTATTAAGGGGTTCTTCCGTATGGGAAGATTGTTTTGTTTAGATAGTAAACATGGTCCTCAGGCTATTAGAAGTCCATTGTCTTGATATTTATTGTCACCATTTCAGTTCTTTAATTATAAAACTTAATTTCTACCAATTGAAAGTAAAGTATGTGCAGATTTGGGGCAACAGATTGGCTGGAAGTGCAGAAAGCGAGAGGCTGCTCGTTCAAATCCTGCAATATATAACATTTACAGGACGGTGTTTTTTTTTTAGTTTTCTCATTAATTGATATAATTAAATATATGTATAAAAAAAAATTAAGGAAAGACAGCATTAATGCCTTTCCAATAATTGTGTTTAAAAAAGTTATCCGGAGTATATTTTAATCACTCAAGAATTTGTCCAGCACATTCAATTTGATTGATTTCAAACTAAAAATATGATTGCCTTTGTTGAGCCCCATTAGTTATCACTATCGTCAGATAGGATTGCGAAGGAAAAACGATGAATAATTATCTTCCCAGCTTACAACTAAATTGAGGAGGAAGAACTCTGAAGTCTTTCCCTAAGAATTGCTGCTAACAAACTGTGACTTTACGTGTCCTTACTTCCATTGAACAGCATTGAATTGGTTTAGCAGTGAGAACTTCAAGCTAAATATCATACATTGTTGACTGTGTAGAAACGAACCACTTACAAGAAACAATGCCAATCAAATAAATCACTTTGTGGATAAACCTTTTCAACTTGAGTGCATGTGACTGCCAATGCTTTATATATATGGTCAATGGATTTAGAAAGAGTTAAGGAATCAAAGGAATGTGTGAATGTTCCATGACGACCCAGAACTATATCTGAGATAAATGACTGCGTCTTCATCCAAGTAAAAGAGAGCACACAATTAAGGAGTGTGCACATGATCTGGACCTGAAACTAATCACTGATTAACAAACATAGTTAATACCTGTTTGATGTTATGGGGTCTTTTGGTACCACCCCACTGCCACCACACCCAGTCTCCAGGATGCACATTCAGAATCTTTGGTGTAAAGTAACCATCACAAACTTTGACTGAATGATGCTAAACAACAAGAGATGAAATCGAATTGTTTGTTTCAAGGCTTATCAGGTAAAAATTACATTACTTATTACATACAATTCATCAACAATAAATAATTTTGACCATCTGTTTGAACTAATTAAAACTACCTAAAGATTCATTTGGGAGGGTGCAATTAATAGATTGTGCCATTTGTTGCATGGAACGGAGTGCAAGGGAGTCATTGTACAAAGAGAGCAATTGCAGACTCCCAAGTGAATCACTAGATAATCCGAATTGGGTGGTAACAAGGATGCACACATGTAAGCTGACTGCATCTATTTACTGGTTCAAATTCTGCAATTATTTTTCAGTAATTAACATGTGATCAAAAATAAAGTTCTTTCAGCAAGAGTTCCTGTTTATAATTTATGTTTTGCATTAATACAGAAAAAATGACATTAAATTATGTCATTTTTGAATTTGATTCCCATGCAACTTTGATAACTCCATATATAACCATACCAAAGTTCTGAAGGAAGAGTTCTACAGGAAAATTATTATCTTTCTTCCCCACCAGTGACATAATAGTGGGCTGAAATAACTGCTGACATCGCTTTTCTGAGCCGCTGTACTACAAGGTCAAAATACAACATAAAATTTCTTTTCCAGGCGAAGTTTGACCCAAAGACAGACCAAAATGTTTGAACATTGATATTTGAGCTCTTAGCTGCAATTTAAAAAAGATTCAATCATAGGCTTCAGTTCCCCTTTAAAGTTTTGTTTTCTTTCTTTGTTACTATGTACAGCCAATCATGCCCTCTCTTCTTTCTAGTAAATGTACCTTTGAAGTTGTCTGCACCACCACTGAACAGCAAGTAGATAGAAAAGATTGGTTATCCTTGGGCACCAAGTGATAACTAAACTCTCCTATGGAATCAAACCTGTGAGTAACCAGTCCCAGCAGTCTCAAAAACTCCACCTGATCACTCAATTTCTCACAATCACATCCTAAAAATAGATAAATAAATAAAACAAAAGAGACTGAGGGCACAGTTTAAAGCAAGCAAAATGAACTGCGATAACATTTCTTATCTTCTTAAGTACCAGGTAAGACTTTAAACAATAATATTCCAAAACAAAGTACTATATAGAAAGCCATTGTGGTTTAATCACAATACATCTTACTGTATATTGTGATTCAACATGAGTCCTTGATATTCAGAACTTCAGAGGTTTTGTTTCATACAATAGCTAGGACCAATAGATCAACACATATGTCACTAAATAAATGCACCACTCACTACTTTCTTTTTGTACATGTGTATGTGGTGGTGCCCATCTCAAAAGCATTTGCCTCTGTGTTCTTCTTTCTCTCTTGTAATGTATCAAATAGGTACTTAGGTCTTACATTTTTCCTCTTTTCAATAATTAATGATTCTCTAATCTTATCATTACAGACTGAGATATTGCAAACTAAAGAATCTAAAATATTCTATCTCTGAATTACTACTCAAAGCTAATGCCATTCAGCCATGCATAATAAATTGAATGAAAAAGACAGCCCCTACCTGAGCAAAGAGATTTCCTTCTGGTTAAAGGAGTGCAGCAGTTCAACTAAGTTTAGAAACAAGACCAGAGTAGTAACTTGAAGTTAATTCACCCATCATATTACCCATAAGTTATGTAAAATCATAAATGCCAACTCTCCCAGATTATCCTGGAGTCTCCCGGTTACAGAGCCAACCTCCCCCTCTCCTGTGCGGGTGACCAAAACTCCCAAATAAAAGGAAGTTTGGATCAGTTGCCCACAAAAAACTAAGATTTTAGCTCCATGTGTTCCAAAATTCTGAAATCATCTAGCTTCTTATACTTGTATTATGGTTTCTGTCATCATTTTCTTGCGTGATGCATGTTGTTTGTTGCAAACAAAGAGAGTTTCTTCTTTGTTACTGCTATATAAGCAAGAGTCTGATTGGATGAGTATTCAGCCATTATT